CGCCCTCCTCCGCCAGCTCTGGCGCAGGCGCACTGAGGCGCGGAGCACCGGCGGAGGGAGCCGGCCGGTGCGCATGCGCACTGCGGCGTCCCGCCGGCGGCCCCGGCCTGAGGGGGATGGCATGGCCCCCGCCACCCCCTCCCTGGGGCGGCCCAGCGCGCTCCTACCCCCGGGAGGGTCTGGGGGAGCTCGGGGGAGGGGGAGAAGCAGGCCCTTCGGTGGCGGCGGAGAGGGATTCCGCGTGGGCCAGCTCGGATGTGGGTGCCGGTCGCTTGTGGCCTGTTGTGGGGGCAGGCGTTCTGAGGGCTGGCCGCGGGGAGAGCAGCTGCAGAGCTGCATTTTCTGAGGGCTGTCAGCCCTCGTTCACGTTTCCCCCCCTCTGCTCTGCTGTGGTGAGGCCACATCTGGGCTACTGTGGCTGGTTCTGGGCCTCCCCGGTTCAAACAGGACAACAGAGGGTACAGCGAGGGGCTACAAGGGTGATCAGGGGAATGGAGCACCTCTCTGGCAAGGAAAGGCTGAGACACCAGGGTCTGTTTAGCCTGGAGAAGAGAAGACTGAGAGGGGATTTTATCAATGTTTATAAATACTCTAAAGGATGAGTGTCAAGAGGATGGGACCAGAGTCTTTTCCATGGTGCCCAGTGGCAGGACAAGGGGCAAGAAGCACAGGCTGGAACATGGGGAAGTCTCAACATGAGCAATAACTTCTTTCCTTTAAGGGTGGCAGAGCCCTGGAACAGGCCGCCCAGAGAGGTGGTGGAGTCTCCTTCTCTGGAGATATTCAAAACCCTCCTGTTCCTCTCCAGCTGGCTCTGGGTGACCCTGCTCTGGCAGGGGTGATGGAATAGATGATCTCCAGAGGTCCCTCCCCACCCCGTATCATTCTGTGATACATTAGAGCTGGTTATGTGGGTTGTAAATTCTCTGGGTCACAGGTGGACGGTGGGCAGAGGCCTAGAAAAGTGTGTGTGTGAGATCTGGGGAGCAAGGTGGGAAGCTACTGAGTAATGCACAGCCCTTTCTGGTAACTTGCATGAATTTGAGGTGGCTATGTGCAGGGCCGAATGAGTAGGAGCCCAAGGGGTGGGATGTACTGTGGAGACACCAGGCAGCTACCAAATGAGGCATCTGCGTGTCATGAGACTGGAAGGAAATGTGTTACTCTAGTCGTGTCCTGTGTGGTGCAGACTTTAAGGACTTCCCTGAACTAACTCCTTTTCTGGGCTGTGGCGTTAAAGAAATGTGTAGCTTTAATCAAGTGGGTGAGAGTCACAAGACAATTCTTGGCGTTATCTAAGTCCTGTGACTCTGATAGACTTCAGTGGGAAATAGAGACCTGCCACAATGTTTGGGATAAAGCTCTTTTTGTATTGTGTCTCTCTAGAAACATGACGTATCAGAGGTTCGTTGTATCACTCTTGACACGAGTCATCTAAGAACATGGGAGAAGAGGCAGTTTCAGTGCAAATGGGTTGAGAATTCTGTGTGAGATGTCAGTGCTTCACACGATGTGGAAGTTGCAAGTGTGATAATGACGGGAAGTGTGTACGTGTGAGGGTTAGAGAGGGGCAGTGGAGAGAAGCAGACCCTGTTGGTGTCTCTGCTAAACCCCTGCCTGGAACAGGAAGGATTAATGTTTACAAGAGGTGTCTTAATTTTAAGCATGGCAGATTGTGACAGTTGCTTATTTGACTGATGCACAAAATCACCTGAAACTAAAAGCTAAAAGGTAGTGAAGATAAGATAATACTAGAAGAGGGGCAGACCTATATGCTTTCAGAAGCCATTTTGCAGATTGGTGCCTTTATGATGTGAATCTTTTGACACAAAGTGGGAAAAGGCTTGCATTTGTATTTGTTCAGTGCCTAACTCCATCACAGTAGATGACAGCCTCCTTTACAGAAAGCGATGGGATTTGTTGTATTTTTGCCTCTCTTGGAGTTCACTCCGTGCAAGACTTAGCTGGCACACAGGTTACTTGGCCCAAGCCCTGTCTCCATCAAGGAGTGCCTAGGAAAATTAGTTCTTTGGAGTTCATAGAAAACACACACACCAAAATGGGGGTCTGGATTTGGTTGCAGGCTGTAGGTTGAGAGGCCTGTTATCTAAAACTTGAATGAACCTTTTTCAGCA